AGGGGTGTCAGGGGAAGGATTCCCACCAATAGATGGGTTAGTGGGAGGGGTGATCGAAGGGATATAAGGAGAGAACGGGCGGGAAGAAGGGGCCTTTGGCGGGAACGAGATTGGGACGGCTGGGGACAGGTGTGGATGGAAGGAAAGGAATAAAGGACGAGACCCCTGCAATCTGGTGTCGGCTCCTACTTTACATCTGGTGGCAACGGTGGGATCTCATGGCTACAAAGAAAAATCCCCGCGGGAAAGAGCCAAGGGAGGAGGAAGCAGGGGCCGGGGATCCTTCCCATCACGGGCAACAAGGGGGCCTGCTATCAGAAGCAGCAGCAGGGGGCCCGGATCGCCTGGAGGACCCCATGGAGGACCGCATGGCCCGCGTGGAGAGGGCACTGCAGGAGCTACTGCAGATGCACCCTATGGGGGGCCCGCCAGCACCGGGACCCCCACCCCCACGCGTACTACGGGAGGAGAGGCCACGGGACCCGGAGGCCGACCAGCCGGCCGGGCAGGAGCCGCAACCAACCTCGTCACGCCAGCCGCCGCTGCTCCCGCCAAAACCCCCAGGGCTAAACACCCAACACGGAGAGCAAGTGGCCGGACGGCCGCGTCGGCTGGGGCCCGTTGACAAGTTCGTGGCTGAGGAAGAAGATTGGGAGGGGTTTGTCCGCCGATTCGAGGCTGCCTTCCACGCTCTCGAGTGGACAGACGAAGAGGCACTACGAGCGCTGCCATCCGTTCTGGGCAAGGAAGCACTCTCCTCTTACACCTCCCTTCCCTCGCACAGCAAGTCCACGCTACAGGCGGCCTACGAGGCTTTGGGGGAGATCTATTGCCCGGCGGAAGGAGCCTTTAAACGGTTCCAGGATCGCCAGCGAGGGGCTAAAGAATCCCCTTTAGGGGTGCGCTGCTCGTGTTGGCGAGGAGAGCTTTCCCTCGCCTGGCGGAAGAAGCGCTCAAGGACCTCGTGGTCGAGCACCTCATCGCCTACGCTTGCCGCGCCGGCGTTGTAATGCCCGTGGTGACGCCGGGGGAACACACCTCGCTGTGGGCTGCCCGGACCATCCAAGCCCACGAGCAAGTCATGGGCCGGGCGCCACCCGTGGGCCCGGTGGCTGGCGCGGCGGGGGGGAACAGCCGAGCCGTTGCCGCGGCGCTACTGGGTCCAGCGACACCAACCGCCGAACCTGCACCGTCGCCACAGGCTGCCTGTGGGGCAGCTGGGAACGGGCCCCCGACGTCTGAGATGGAGCCATCGCTGCGGGAGGTGTACGCGGCGATCCGGGGACTGGCGGAGCAGAGGGACCAGGGGCGCGACCAGCCGCCGCGTCGCTGGCAGCCGCCTCTACAACATCGCGCCGAGCCCCCCCGACGGAACGCCCTGTGGGTCTGCCACCGTTGTGGTCGAGAGGGGCATGTGGCGAGGGGGTGCCGCACGGAGCCGGAGGCCGCCAACGTCACCTGGAACCAGCCGGGGCCGAACGCCGACAGGATCCAGGCGAGTGACGCCGTCCCGCCCGGCCTCTCGGTCGGGCCGAGCAATTACAATTCCGACGCCGTGAACTTACCGGGAGTCTCCTCGGGGTGGGCGCCGTCGGTGTCGTTCCCCGGTCCCCATTGTCCGGGTCGGGGGAAGGGGATCGTGCCGGGGATAGCGCCGGGGCCTGTGATTGCGTCGCGACCAGAAGTGGCGTCGCGACCCGGAGTGGCGTCGCGAACGGACGTGACGTTGCATCCGGAAGTGACGTCGCGGCCAAAAGTGGTGTCGCGGATCGCGCCGGGAATTGCGCCGGGGCCGTGGACCGCGTCGGGGATCGCGCCGAGGCCGGAGACCGCGTCGGGAGTCGCGCCGGGGCCGGAGACCGCGTCGGGAGTCGCGCCGAGGCCGGGAGGGACGTCGCGGGCGGACGTGACGTCGCGGGCGGAGGTGACGTCGCGGGTGGAGGTGACGTCGCGGGCGGACGTGACGTCGCGAGCGGGCGTGGTTTCGCGGGCGGGCGTGACGTCGCCGGCGGGCGTGACGTCGCCGGCGGGCGTGACGTCGCCGGCGGGCGTGACGTCGCCGGCGGGCGTGACGTCGCCGGCGGGCGTGACGTCGCCGGCGGGCGTGACGTCGCGGGCGGGCGTGACGTCGCCGGCGGGCGTGACGTCGCCGGCGGGCGTGACGTCGCCGGCGGGCGTGACGTCGCCGGCGGGCGTGACGTCGCGGGCGGGCGTGACGTCGCGGGCGGGCGTGACGTCGCCGGCGGGCGTGACGTCGCGGGCGGGCGTGACGTCGCCGGCGGGCGTGACGTCGCCGGCGGGCGTGACGTCGCGGGCGGGCGTGACGTCGCCGGCGGGCGTGACGTCACCAGTTACCTGCGACGCCGGCGAGTTGCCAGGGGCAACGGCCCGGGGGCGGAGGCAGCCCACAAGATTGACATTGCGCCCTGGAGCAGTTCCACGGCCCGCCTCACCACCACTTTGCGGCAGAGCGAGACGGAACCAGGGGGACCACGCCCCCGTGACAAAGGGAAGGGAGGGGAGAAGGGAGGGGCTCACGGGAAGGCCCACCCCCCAGTCCCCACTGCCCCCTACAATGGGGGGGGCCCCCCACACCACAAGGGGGGCCCATCCTACGTCACCAAGGGGGGGCAATTTGCACCACATAGAGAGCCCAGCCCGCAACCCACGGGTAAGCCCACACTATGTAACAAGGGCGCGTTCACCCTGCTGCGACGCACTCCAAAGGGAGGAACCCCATCTTCAGTCCATTTACATCCATCCCCCATCATTTCACCATGCACCACAGGATAACGAGACGCCGCCTGGTCAGTGGCCGGACTCAGCCACACAATGGAGGAAGCTGGCAAGGCGGGTGGTAGCGGCCACGTCGGGAACCTCGGTCCTGGTCGGTGAAATCGCGGGAGTGTCGGCACGTATCTTGGTGGATACGGGGGCATCAGCCACGATCATCTCGAGCACCATGCACAAGATGCTGCCGGATAAAATCCGACCTTTAGTCCCTGTCAAGACAATGTTCATTGCAGCAAATGGAGGCAGCATGGGCTTCCTGGGCCAGGTTGAAGCCCCGATACAGATTGGGCAGCTCTCGGTAGCAGGACCCATCCTTGTCTCTGCAACGTTGCCCGTACCCTGCCTGTTGGGGACGGACTTTCTGAGGCGGATGCCAATGAAAATCGATCTGGCCCATGGGCGGGTGGAAGTCCAGGGAACGCATCTCCATTTCCTAAAGGCGGAGGGGGCCAGCCGGGGTGTACCCTACGTGCAGGCTCTGGTCAGTAAGTCTGTCTCCATTCCCCCGGCAGCCCAGATGCTGATTCCGCTGCAATATCGGTCTCCCCTCGTGACAGCCCGACCAGACTCACCCATCCTGGTGTCTCCGGCGTCAGCTGCCATGGATCGCCATGCGCTGGTGGGAGCCGAAACTATTGTACAGAGGAACCAGCATCTGTTCATTCAGGTGCTGAACGCCTCCGATAGAACAGCGACGGTGCAGGAGGAAACAGTTCTGGCCCACGTTAGTCCCTTGTCACTAGGAGCCCCAGGGACAAAGCCCGAGCTTGTAGGCAGCATCAGCCAGTCCGAGGACAGAGGGGCCGAATCGTGGATGGACCAGCTGGCGGGGCCTGAGCTGGGATTGCCGCCCGACCAGAAACAGCAGCTGCACTCGTTATTGCATGAGTTCTCGGACGTGTTCAGCCGGGGACCGTTCGACCTAGGGCGCACAAATCTGTCGCAGCACCACATTAACACGGGAGATGCCGCACCCCTGCGCCAAAACACATATAGAATGAGCCCAATGGAAAAAGGGCACATTCAACAAGCGGTGCAGGAGATGCTGCGGGCCGACATAATTTCTCCATCCTCGAGTCCCTGGGGGGCACCGGTGGTCCTAGTCAAGAAGTCAGACGGGTCACTGAGATTCCGACGCCTCAATGCCGTCACGCTGGCCGACGCATATCCCCTACCACGTATTGACGACTCATTGGATGCACTGGCGGGAGCAAAATTTTTCAGTATGCTGGATTTATTGTCCGGGTTCTGGCAGGTCCCACTAGACGCGGACTCCCGGCCTAAAACAGCGTTCCGGACACCACAGGGCCTGTTCGAGTTCAACTGCCTGCCTATGGGCCTCCAGACTGCGCCGGCGACGTTCCAACGCATAATGGAGTTGGCCTTAGCAGGCCTCCAATGGGAAACGTGCCTCATCTACCTGGATGACGTCATTGTCTTCAGCCGATCATTCGAGGAACACATTGACCGATTACGTCAGGTATTCCTGCGGTTCCGGAACGCGAACTTGAAGCTCAAGCCGTCGAAGTGCCACCTGTAGGGGCAAGTGCTGCTAGCGAGTAGCAGCAGCAGCAGCTATGAAGGCAAAGACAAAGATGCCCCGTGTAGCCTGTAGTAGCAGGCTGTAGGGGCAAGTGCTGCTAGCGAGTAGCAGCAGCTATGAAGGCAAAGACAAAGATGCCCCGTGTAGCCTGTAGTAGCAGGCTGTAGGGGCAAGTGCTGCTAGCGAGTAGCAGCAGCAGCAGCAGCTATGAAGGCAAAGACAAAGATGCCCCGTGTAGCCTGTAGTAGCAGGCTGTAGGGGCAAGTGCTGCTAGCAGAGGGGTGGGTGGCCAGCACCACGCCCGGCCGCCTTAGTCTCTCTTCAAATGGAAATGTTCATACAGTTTTCGATTTAAAGCTTTCGTGACTGCAGGGATTCATCTTCTTGGTTCTTTCGGTAAAGTCACGTAGAAGGGAATTAATAAAATAATAAAAATAAAACATAATAAAATAATTCTCACGACGTTTCGGCCACAACGCAAGCAGCCGTTCTCTGGTGAAGAACAGGTCTGTCGGGGAGACAGCGTCTGAATGTCTCCTCGACAAACCTGGTCTTCATCTGAGGACGGCTGTCGGGGAGACAGTGTCTGAATGAAGAGGACACACTGAAGAATTTGAGTCAGTCTTTTATGTATTTTGCATTCATAACGTGAATGATAATTCCCCCCTCCACCGAACGCACGTGTGTTGCTAGGGGCAACCCCCGGTCAGCTGTCTGCGCATGTGCAGATGCATATTAAAATAATAATAATAGCACTAAATTGTTAACTATTTAAAGTTGACGTATGCGAAAATAGAACAGCGCTGGCTCACCGTGGGGCTTATCGCCTGGTACCCGGGTACTTTGAACGTAAACCCTACGGTTCGCGAGCCAAATCTTTCGCAAGTTTCGTCCACGCACAGACACAGACAAACACAGACACACAGAAAATGGCTTTTATAGGCAAGATTGTATAGACGTGTAGTGTAAAGTAGTGTAGTGTAAAGTGGATATAGTGTAACGTGGCTCAGTGAAGGATATGATGGATGCCACAGGGTCACCGAACCCCATTGTGAATCCTCAGTGTGCCGAGTGAATGTTTTGTAGATTTGGCGTTAACAAGAACGGAGTAAAAAGAATAACACTTAGTTACTAAGCACATTCAAGTGATGAGGGTCAAAAAACAGTGCTTCTGCATTGTGGAAATTGACACAAGTGTATAGTAAGGTAGTGAATTGTGTAGTGTATCAAAGTGTAGTGTTTGTAGTAGTGTAATGTATAGTGTAAAGCGGCTCGTAATGATGGGCATGCTGGACGCTGTGGTGCCCTAAACAACTTTGTGGGGATCTCCAAACCCCCACAGCACCTGGCTGAAACCAGATGGAGTCCAATTTCAGCCGAGGCCACCCCCAGCCCGTGGCTGGAGGCTACTTGCAGAAATATTGATCGACGGTCGATGGGCACAGCTTGCACCTGACGTTCCAGCGGAGTTGTTCCTTGCATCCGCACTGCTTCTCCACCGTGACTGGGAAGGGAACAGCAGCAGAGGCAACGGTGCGAAACGGACGCGTGAACCATCGTCGTTTTGCTCACAATGATTTTTCATCGCAATTTTGCGATCGTCGTTGACGTCGCGAGGTGAAACATCTCCCTTCGAGCGACCCAAGGTTAACGGAAAGCAGTTCTCAAGAAATGTTTTCTATTTAATTGTGGAGTTTACAGTACTGTATAGTGCAGTGTATAGGAGTGAAGAATAGTGTATAGTAGTATAGGGACAGTGCGGAAAGAGAGAGACGGTGCGTGGGTGGAGAAGGGGGGGTGAGGGGCTCACCTTGCGAGATGTCGTATCCTCTGTCACAGCACGTGATGACGGAGCATCCCTCGGTGCCCTCGGAGGTGACGTTGCACCGCCGCCCCACCACGCCGGGGATGCCGCTGGCGTCGTCGCGCTCGCAGTAGTCCGGGCTGGCGCTCACGTGCACCAGCTCGCTCGCCGTGGGCGCCGTCAACCACTCGTTCACCGGCTCCAGACGCCAGCGGGACCAGCGGGACCAGCGGGTGGCACCGCCGGTAACGGCACCGGCTGCACCGCCGCGACGACCGCTCGTCTTGTGGCTCACCAACCGCATGGCGGAACTTGTGTCGTACTTTTCCTGCAGCCACCATTGTCATCATCATCATCAGGGGATGAGGAGGATCCGCCATGTGTGTTTTTGTTGAAGTGGTGGTGGTTGTTGTGTGAATGCGGGGAACCTCCTTAGTTGTTAGGGACCCCTCCCCCTGTTTGTAGCCCTCCTGTCAATTAATCCTTAATCCCCCACCCACACCTCCTCCGGGTGCAGTCTCATCACCGGCAGCCGTGAGCTCACCTTCAGAAAGTTTCCAACTTTGCGAAAGTCGGCGAGATGCGGCGAGCAGACCTGGAGCACGCAGATGCCAAATTCAAAGTGGCACTTGCAGTCAATGGATGCCAGATTGTACACCGCCTGTAGCACCACCACCAACAACGTCATCGTCACTACAACACAATCATTGTTACCACCAACACCATTATCATTTGTCACTACCAACCGCCATTTCCCAATAATTGGCAGTGAAGTCACCGACAGCGCTTGTGCCAGGCTGTGTGAACATTAAGCCCACGTGAAGTGTCAAATGTCCGCCTGGCAGGAGGTCATGGGACAGACCCAGGTGCCACGGGTCGACTGACTGAGATGACTGGCCAATGCACCACCTGCGTGTGGCCCCTGCTGCTGTGCCAACTTGCTGCATATTAGCCGCCCAGAGCTCTGCTCGTTGTTGGGAGCACCGCTTCTCTGCCCTCTTTTGCCGAGGGGTGACTGCGTCCAACTCCTCCACAGAGGCCGATCTTAACAACGCTGGTACCAGTCATTAGCAAGTTCACTCAGCTCCACGTCCTCCTGTACCACATCACTGCATCCCTTCTCCAGCCTGTGCCACACCCTTTAAGCACCCTCTATCTGGCCGAACTAAAGTGGCTTTGGCATGCGGTGGCTGGGCATGCGGACTACATGATCCAGCCAAAGCAGCCTTGCCTGCCGGAGGAGCTCAGCAAATGGACTTTGTCCAGATCTTTCAAGGATTTGTGAGCTCTTCACACAATCCAGCCTGGTTAAACCCAGGATGGATTGTAGGCATGCCACCCTGAATGTTTCTAAGTGGCAAAAATGTTACATGGTCATGCCCTCTACGCTTGCAAAACGTGGACACCCTGGTCCACGTTTTGGAAGCGTAGAGGGCATGACCATGGCCAAGAAGACCTGAAGCTTTGTGTGGAGCAACAGACCAGGTAGCTTCCACACAGCATGGCGCAGTCAATGCAAATATAATGCCTCTCAATTTATTGAGACCTCTGCTGTCAGAGAGCTGGTCATAGGCACACTTTCCAGGTATGGGAAACTCTCCACAACTGCCCCATCACCAATTGGGAGTTGTGGAGTGTCCAATGGCACAACATACCCAGGCAGGTGCTTAGTTTTGGTGGGGCTGTTGGCAAGGCCCCACCTCTTAGTGGCAATCTCCAGGTTCAGCAGCAGCACCTCCAACTCCTCCTCTGAGTGAGCAGAAATTACCAGATCGGCAAACATAACGTGGTTGAGCAATAGGGAGCCATCCCTTGACCGCACCCGGGCATCGATCAGCCTCCCATCGTATCTGTACCAGATTCTGCCGGACAGTCATGGAAAGCTTCACGAACTATGTGGTCGAAAATGTTTTTAACTAATGTGGGAGCGAAAGGACATCGCTGTCGCACCCCAAGGTGAAGAGGGAGTGGTTCCAACTCCCAGCCACGCAGCTTTATCCGGGCCTGCCCACCATCATGAAGGTCTTGAATAATTGTGAGCAGTCGGACTCTGAAAGCACGAATAACAACCCACAGCCCAGGCCTATTGATGATAACATAGTGACTTGGCCAGGTCAAAAAAGCAGAGATGTAAGTTTTGTTGGAATTCCCTACACCTCTGCTGTAGCAGACGGACAGAAAACATGGCGTCTGTGCAGTCAAAAAAGCAGAGATGTAGGTCTTGTTGGAATTCCCTACACCTCTGCTGTAGCAGACGGACAGAAAACATGGCGTCTGTGCAGTCAAAAAAGCAGAGATGTAGGTCTTGTTGGAATTCCCTACACCTCTGCTGTAGCAGACGGACAGAAAACACGGCGTCTGTGCAGTCAAAAAAGCAGAGATGTAGGTCTTGTTGGAATTCCCTACACCTCTGCTGTAGCAGACGGACAGAAAATATGGCGTCTGTGCAGGGCCACCCTGGCCTAAAACCACGTTGGGTCTCCGTGCCAATAATCGTCCACCCATTCACCGTTAATATTCATTTTTGGAAAAGGCATACAAGAGTGATTCTGCCTATTTTTTGTAATATTTTTTTTATTGGCATGTAGCGCTGGGGCATAAGCACGCTGTGAATCTCACACCCCCCCACCCCGCTGCCTCACCCACATAAAAGATAGCTGGAGGTTAATGACTGCAGGAAGTTGTAAAACTAGAAAAACTACACTTAGGCGCAATTGAGAGCATCTGTGTCCACAGGCCATGAGATGGCTGAAAGGTAGAGGAGGAGCCAGGCCTTGATGTGACTTAGGAAATTACTTCAGTCAAGTAGAACAGACACACACGTACACCGGACAAGCGGTCACAATCAAAAGGGGAAAATGTCAAAACTGGGTGGTTTTTTACTTTTGCCGACAAAACTGGATCCCAAATGTCAAAACTGGGTGGTCTTGGAAAACGACAGGCAAAACAGGGTGGTGCTTTTTGATATGACAAAACTGGGTGATGTTCAATGTGGACAAATGTCAAAACTGGGTGAAGAAGGTGTACGATTTAATGTATCATTTTGTACACGTTTAGGTGGGCAAAGGCCGTCGTCATCATGTCTTCCATGTGGTGCATGAGGAAGTGGAAGGGGTCCATCTCGCGAGCCGGCAGAGCCTCGCTGTTCGTGGACTCCACAAAGTTCGTCGTGCGCCAGCCGTACAATGGCGTCATATGCAGGTGCGGGTAGAGCGCCCACGTGTGGGGGTCGATCTTGTTGTAGTACGTGGCCGCCGTAGGCAGAGCTACGCCCAAGCAGCCCAAGGAGCTGCGGAACGCGGCCTCGGAGGCGCACCCTTGGGCATCGTAGATGATGCCTTGGAGGTCGGGCGTGAACGCGGAGCCGATGTTGTCCACGCCGTTGCAGATCAAATGCCGCGTGCAGTGGATGAGCATGAGGTCCTTCCAGTCGGAGGCTAGGATGCCCGTGCCACGATCGCAGAAGACCGGCGTGCCGTCGAGCTCGATGTCGTTGGTCGTGCAGCAGTTGAGAAACCAGTCGTAGGCCGCTGCCGTCTCGGACGGCACCAGCGCCACGGCGAGAAGGACGTTGCGGTTGTTGCCGTCGCGCCCAACGAGGACGAGCATGGTTCCGTTGTAGGCGCGCGCCTTCATGTGCGACCCGTCGATGCCGACGACGCGTTGAAGACTTGGCTGCAACGAGCGTGCGATCGGGTTGCAGATGAACGCACCCCAGAAGATGCCCGCGTCTTCTCTCACACTGCAGGTCGTCGCGTTGAGCTTGCCGAACGTCTCCACCAGCGAGTTGATGAACTCGAAGCCTGCATGGGCCGCACTCTCGTTCGCCGCGATGCACGTGTCCTTGGCGCGGTACATCATCCGGGTCGGGACAATGACGCGAGAAACGTCGGCGACCTGGGCAATGACAGTCGGTGCGGAGGTACGGGGGTTGGCGCGAAAGGCCGAACGGGCTGTCGTGATCTTGGTAGTGCCCGTGCAGCCGTGGTGATCCGTGCACAGCGCCGAGACGCGGAAGCCGTGTCGTTCCCCCGTGAGCTTCGTCAGCTTCACCTTGAAGGAACAAGGTGTTGAACTAGAGCAGACGATGGCAACGTGCCATCCGCCGCTTCGCTTGAGGTCAAGGACCGCGCGCTTGCCTTGTTGCAAAGCAAAGTCTTGGATGCCGTGGATGGCCTCGCGGCGCGTGGTAAAAGTCTTCTTGGGGTGGAGGGTTGCCATTCGAATGTGAGCCGCTCCTCCACCTGTTTCGTGAAAAATGCTTGTGAAAAATCACGCTTCTACGTCTACTTTCAATTTTTCACGAGACAATGTCTATTTTCATTGCCAGCAATTTGATTTTTCACACAATATTTCCGCCAATCACCGTAACGGTGGGCCAAAGGATTGACCAATCAACGAGATGCGCATTCGTTGGTTTGTTCCGCACCATTGGGACCATGGTCAGGAGCGTCAAGCAGGCTAGTCCATCTCCCAAGGACGTCGCCTTTGTCTCTGTGCTTGGTCGTTTGGCGGGCTATGGTCGAATGCATGGCAAATTTAAGGGTGTACAGTAGCGCGTAGCATCAACCAACAATCCAAAAGTTTGGTATTGACGCGAGTCACTAGTCTAGGTCATCACGCAAGGTGGCAGTGCGCCCGCCTGGTTGCAAGCCCGCCCCGAGCTCACTTCCGAGTCCGAGCCGTAGCTTGAAATGTTGGTCGTTGGGGTGCTGGCACACTGTGCCAGCGTACAAATATCAAGTGTGTGTAGTTATATGGTGCTGGCACACTGTGCCAGCATACTAATACCAAGTGTTTAGATGAATGGGGTGCTGGCACAGTGTGCCAGTATACAAATACCAAGTGTTTGGATGAATGGGGTGCTGGCACACTGTGCTAGTATACAATTATCAAGTGTATTTGACAAATGTCAAAACTGGGTGCACCCTGAGTGTCCAAAACTCAAGTTTTTGGCCACCCAGGGTGCACCCAGTTTTGACATTTGGGATCCAGTTTTGTCGGCAAAAGTTAAAAACCACCCAGTTTTGACATTTTCCCCAATCAAAAGGACAGTTGTTCCGTCGTGAGAGGAAACCGACCAATCACAGGCCGAGGAGCAAAATCAAAGGAGTTCCACTCCGTTGTAAGAAGACGGGTCTGAGGTGGGAGATTTTCGGATATAACGAAGAAGCCGAACCACGCAAATCAGTCTTGCGACGGCAAGCTTCAGGGTATGGTCCTCGAAATCAACCGTGGGTGTCGAGTCTTGCAGAGAGGGTCGATGTGTTGCTAAGTGGCGAGTTTGGCGCCGAACGACAGTATGGCTGCAAGTTTTATTCTGCACTTGTCGTGATGTTTTGAGTCGCTCGCAGAATCAAGGACTGCGATAACTTGTATCGTACTAATCCGTAAGAGTTGTGAGAAGCTAAGGAGGTGCGCGAATATATTTTGAGTTTGAGAAGCGAGTGAGGAGCTGCGACGAGCAGCTGACAGCAGCAGGAGCCCTCCCTACCCATACCCTACCCTACCCGAAATGAGTGACAAACAGTGACTCACCGGTGACTCACGGTCTACCCGTACCCGCACCCTACCCGTACCCGGCCGGGTACGGGTAGGGTACGGGTGCGGCCAGGTACGGGTACGGGTATCGGGTACCCATTTGCGACCCTGGTGCGGCCGGGTACGGGTACGGGTAGACCGTGAGTCACTGGTGAGTCACCGTTTGCCACTCATTTCCCAACCCGGTTGCGACCTCTGACGTAGACGGAGCCGGACCCATCATCCCTGCCAGCATGGACAGCGCCAGCAGCGTGCGCGGCGTGCAGATTCGGCAAACACCCCGGCGGTGGAGGGAGACTGACGGCGCAGGCAAGAGCGCCGCGTGTTTCACGCACACACAAACCCAGCGCCTTGCTTGGGCCCCGACGTGTTTTCAGTAGGAGGAACGCTGCACCGGAAACCACTGGGTATTGTCAAAAGCACAGTAGCAGGAATAGGTGGACAACGCAAGCCGTGCTGCCCGCTATAATTATTGTACCTTGCGGTGACTGCCCTCCCACACACACAACACGCATATCAGTATGGCTAAGATTGTTACGAAAAGTTTGTGTGTTTTGAAAAGGGTTGCCATCAAGGTGGTTTTTTTTAACTATTAGCCTATCGGGATAAGCATTGTTCTGTCCCTTGAGTTAAATATGGTCTAATAGGGGTTTTCCCCTTTTTTCTGGCAACAAAACTGACACCTTTTGCAAGGAATCATGCTTACATTAACCACAATACTTGCAGTCAAATGCAAACAAAAAGCAATACTCTGGTAATTTATGCATTGGCGTCATCTGGTTGCACCCGAAACGTCGTGATCCATTTGATAGTCTACCCACGTGACGTCACCGAAAGAACCAAAGAGTATGGATCCCTTCAGTCACCAAAGCTTCAACATCAAGATTTTATTTCCCGGCCTTTGAATCGCATCCCAAAGTCGGGTTGACAAAACTCCACCAAAAACAGCAAAAGCCACTCGATGATTCTCCAACATCTTTAAATTGTCTGAAAATATTCATCAGAAACCATACAACTGCCCATATACATTCTAGACAAAGATCCCCTGTGTAGCCTCAACAGACTGCTGGGGCAAGTGCTGTTAGCGAGCGCCTCTGAAGGCCGGCACGGTGGCACACGAGGGGGTGGGTGGCCAGCACCACGCCCGGCCGCCTTTGTCTCCCCAGTGGCGATGTCTTCATATGTTACACACACACACAGATGCACATCAGCGTGGGTCCAGATGTCTTGTGACTCCCCCACCCCAAGTAAACGAGCCCTAATATATTGTTTTCCTGTGCATATTCATTTCCGTTTTAAATTAACCTTGCTTGAACAAATACAAAATTACGTTTTAGATAATTATGTGGGGAGGGGGGGGGGTCACCAGACATCAGGACCACCTACGCTACGAATCTTTAACAAAAAAAGTTGCATTGGACTAAGAAAGTCACTTTTGCAAAGCCGTCTCCAAATAAAAATGATTACATGAAAAATAAAATAATTTAACTAAACACATTACCACAATTGTTTTACTAAGTGGGTGTACGTTAAGAAGTACTGTGATTCGTTGCAATGTCTATGCACTTTTAAACTATAACATTAAATTGACTTGTATGCAACGTTCGCTTTCTCCGCAGTGAACAAAAAATAACACTGCTCAACAACAACAACAACAAAAATTTCTGGCCTGGACGTTTGCAGCTGTTCTAGACTAATTTCAGGGTGCTGATTCCAAATCTGATCTCAGATTTGCTCCGTCACATCTCATTTTCATGCTATCGGCATACCCCATTTTCATTAATTTTACCCGAAATTAACTCTGTCACTTATGATTGCAAGTCGTTGCGAGTCAGTGACTGCTTTAGTGTTAAAATACGGTGCTGTATTTTTAGGATAGTGTGTTTATGATATCATTTTATGTAGATATCCACATTTATTTAATATTTTGCTTCCGCAGTTTTTACTGAAAATGCAATATTTTATATCTCAAAAACCTGATGTGATAGACAAAAACTGATGCCAGATTTGGAATCAGCACCCCCCCAAAATTACATTACAGCCGTTGGAATATCTTATGCCAGAAGAAGTGTGTTGACCAGTGCAATCCGGATTGTCTCAGTTACTCTAATCCCACAAAAGCAGCAACAGCCTCTTCGTTATCCTCATAACCATCATCGTCATCGTCGTCATCGTCATCATGATCATCATCATAATCATCATCATCATCGTCATCATGATCATCATCATGATCATAATCATCATCATCACCAGCTGCTCCTTCAACTTGTTGATGAGCAGGATCTGATCCAGCTGTGTGAAACCACAACATCAACATCACCATCAACATCGTCAACAACATCATCGGCGTCATCGTCGGCACCATAGTCATGATCACCATCGTCGTCATCATCGTTATCATCGCCATCACCAGCATCAACATCATCGCCATCATCACCAGCTGCTCCTTCAACGTGTTGATGAGCAGGATGTTGTCCAGCTGCGTGAAACCACAACATCAACAACATCGTCAACATCGTCAACAACATTATCATCATCGTCAACATCGTCATCGTCAACATCGTCAACAACATCATCATCATCGTCAATATCATCATTGTCACCATCAACATCGTCAACATCATCATCGTCAACATCGTCAACAACATCATCATCATCGTCAATATCATCATTGTCACCATCAACATCGTCAACAACATCATCATCATCGTCAATATCATCATTGTCACCATCAACATCGTCAACAACATCATCATCATCGTCAACATCATCATCGTCAACAACATCATCATCATCGTCAACATCGTCATCGTCAACATCGTCAACAACATCATCATCATCGTCAACATCGTCAATGTCACCATCAACATTGTCGTCATCATCAACATTATCATTATCGACATCGTCAAGATCATCATGTGAAGTTGATGCTATTGATGTTGTTGATCTTATTGATTGTGTTGTTGATGTTGTTCATGTTGATGTTGTTGATGTTGATGATGTTGATGATGATGATGTTGATGTTGTTTATGCTGATGTTGTTGATCTTGGGGTACCTGGTTAGGTGGAGGATGTGACCAGAAGTACGGTGCATTGTATGCTGGGTTGCCCATTCTGTAACGACACTCACCACTACTCACCCACACTCACCACTACAACAACAACCGCCATTCGCCACTAAGTGGCGGTGACGTCACCACGACGCTTGTGCCAGGCCATGTGCACCTTGAGGCCACGTGAAGTGTCGAAAGCCCGCTGGCAGGAGGTCACGGGGCAGACCCAGGTGCCACGGGTCGACTGACCGAGATGACCGAGATGACTGGCTGATGCACCACCTGTGCCCCCTACTGTGCCAACTTGCTGTGCTTTAGCCACCCGGCGCTCCGCTCGTTGTTGTGAGCGTCGCTCCTCCGCCCTCCGTTGTTGTTGGAGGGCGACTGCCTCCAACTGCCCAGTAGCGTCCTTCACGAGCCTCCTCCACTGAGGCCGATCTTGACACCGCTGGTACCGGTCATCGGCAAGTCCACTCGATCCAGCCGAACAAAAGCTGTTTGGGCATGCGGTGGCTGGGCATGCGGGCTACATGACCCAGCCACCGCAGCCTTGCCTGCGGGCGTTCGACACTTCACGTGGCCTCAAGGTGCACTTGGCCTGGCACAAGCGTCGTGGTGACGTCACCACCACTTAGTGGTGAATGGCGGTTGTTGTTGTTGTGTACAGTGTGTGTGTCTGTGTGTACACTGTGTGCGTGTCTGTGTGTGTACAATGTGTGTGTGTGTGTACACTGTGTGTGTGTACACTGTGTGTGTCTCTGTGTGTGTGTACACTGTGTGTGTGTCTCTGTGTGTGTGTGTACACTGTGTGTGTGTCTCTGTGTGTGTGTACACTGTGTGTGTGTGTACACTGTGTGTGTACAATGTGTGTGTGTGTACACTGTGTGTGTACAATGTGTGTGTGTGTACACTGTGTATGTGTGTGTCTGTCTGTACACTGTGTGTGTGTACACTGTGTGTCTGTGTGTGTACACTGTGTGTGTACACTGTGTGTGTGTCTGGCTGTACACTGTGTGTGTACACCGTGTGTGTCTGTGTGTCTGTGTGTGTCTGTCTGTACACTGTGTGTGTACACTGTGTGTCTGTGTGTGTACACTGTGTGTGTGTCTGTCTGTACACTGTGTGTGTGTACACTGTGTGTCTGTGTGTGTACACTGTGTGTACACTGTGTGTGTGTCTGTCTGTACACTGTGTGTGTGTACACTGTGTGTCTGTGTGTGTACACTGTGTGTACACTGTGTGTGTCTGCCTGTACACTGTGTGTGTGTACACTGTGTGTCTGTGTGTGTACACTGTGTGTACACTGTGTGTGTGTCTGTCTGTACACTGTGTGTGTGTACACTGTGTGTCTGTGTGTGTACACTGTGTGTACACTGTGTTTGTGTCTGTCTGTACACTGTGTGTGTGTGTACACTGTGTGTCTGTGTGTGTACACTGTGTGTACACTGTGTGTGTCTGTCTGTACACTGTGTGTGTGTACACTGTGTGTCTGTGTGTGTACACTGTGTGTGTACAATGTGTGTGTGTACACTGTGTGTGTGTCTGTCTGTACACTGTGTGTGTACACTGTGTGTGTGCACCACGCTACTCACTCGCAAGGCAACGTTCTTCGATCCCGACTCCTGCCGGGGGAGGCGCTCCGTGCCCGGCGGCATCCGCCAGGAAAACTAGGTAGGGCCCCAGGGCGACTAGGCCGCAGTTGTTCCATATGGTGATGGATGTTGCTGATGATGTTGTTGATGGTGCTGATGATGTTGATGTTGCTGATGATGTTGTTGATGATGTTGTTGATAGTGCTGATGATGTTGTTGATGTTGCTGATGATGTTGTTGATGTTGCTGCTGATGTTGTTGATAGTGCTGATGCTGTTGTTGATGTTGCTGATGATGTTGTTGATGTTGTTGATGGTGTTGCTGATGATGTTGTTGATGTTGCTACTGATCTTGTTGATGTTGCTGCTGACAGACACGTACACACACAGTGGTGGTGTCTACACACAGACACGTACACACACAGTGGTGATGTCTACACACAGACACGTACACACACAGTGATGTCTACACACAGACACGTACACACACAGTGGCGATGTCTACACACAGACACGTACACACAGTGATGTCTACACACAGACACGTACACACAGTGATGTCTACACACAGACACGTACACACACAGTGGTGGTAGCAGCAATCACTACCCTTGCAACAGCAGATGCACGTGAGGGTTGGTCCAGATGTCTTGTGACCTCCCCTCCCCCAATTAATTGAGCCCTAATATAATGTTTTTCCTGTGCATATTCATTTCCGTTTTAAATGAACCTCACTTTAATTAAATGGGGGGGGGGGGGTCACCAGACATCTGGACCACCCACGCTACGGATCTTTAACAAAAAAAATTGCATTGGACTAAGCAAGTCACTTTACAAATAATAATTATTATAAATAACATATAAAATAAAATCCTTTAGCTAAATACATTACCACAATTGTGTAACATTAAGAAGCACATGGATTCGTGTCCATTTGTATAGACATGGAGGGGGGAGGGGCAGTCACGTGCCCACTTGTGGGGGAGGGGGCGATGGAGGAGGGGGTCTCGTGATTGGGGGAGGGGTAGTCACGTGCCCACGAGTGGGGGAGGGGGCGCTGGAGGAGGGGGGGTCTCGTGATTGGGGGAGGGGCAGTCACGTGCCCACTTGTGGGGGAGGGGGCGATGGAGGAGGGGGTCTCGTGATTGGGGGAGGGGCAGTCACGTGCCCACGGGTGGGGGAGGGGGCGCTGGAGGAGCGGGGGTCTCGTGATTGGGGGAGGGGCAGTCACGTGCACACTTGTGGGGGAGGGGGCGATGGAGGAGGGGGTCTCGTGATTGGGGGAGGGGTAGTCACGTGCCCACGAGTGGGGGAGGGGGCGCTGGAGGAGGGGGGGTCTCGTGATTGGGGGAGGGGCAGTCACGTGCCCACTTGTGGGGGAGGGGGCGCTGGAGGAGGGGGGGTCTCGTGATTGGGGGAGGGGCAGTCACGTGCCCACTTGTGGGGGAGGGGGCGATGGAGGAGGGGGTCTCGTGATTGGGGGAGGGGTAGTCACGTGCCCACTTGTGGGGGAGGGGGCGATGGAGGGGGGGGTCTCGTGATTGGGGGAGGGGTAGTCACGTGCCCACTTGTGGGGGAGGGGGCAATGGGGGGGGTCTCGTGATTGGAGGAGAGGCAGTCACGTGCCCACGAGTGGGGGAGGGGCGTGCTCAATGGCTGCCCTCTCACCATTGCTCACCCACTCACACAGAGACCACGTGGCCACAACAGACTTGTGAGGCGTGAAATAGACACCGGCGAGTAGCCACGAGAGGCGGCACGGCACACGAAGGGGGCGAGTGGCCAGTGTGAGTGGGGTGGTGTGTGGGGGGGGCCCGCTCCCGACTGACAAGCTTGAGTAGGCACCACTCTCCACCACGTGTCACTTTCCTCTCCAGTTGCAGCTGAAATGTAACACTGGTCAACACACTTTGTCTTCTGGCGTGAGGTATTCCAACGGGTTTAAGGTGATTTTGGGGTACCGATTCCAAATCCGGCATCAGTTTTTGTCTATCACATCAGGTTTTTGAGGTATAAAATATTGCATTTTGAATAAAAACTGCGAAAGAAAAATATTAAATGAATGTGGATATCTACATAAAATTATATAATAAACACGCTATCCTAAAATATAGCACCATATTTTAACACTAAAGCAGTCACTGACTCGCAACGACTTGCAATCATAAGTGACAGAGTTAATTTCGGGTAAAATCAATGGAAATGGGGTATGCCGATAGCATGAAAATGAGATGTGATGGAGCAAATCTGAGATCAGATTTGGAATCAGCACCCTGAAATTAGTCTAGAACAGCTGCAAAAGTCCAGGCCAGAAAATAATGTTTTGTTGCTGACCAGTGTAATGTAGCCTGTAGCCTGGTTATTAAGCTGGGTGAGTGTACTGACAGTCTATAATATAGACTGTAGCCTGGTTATTAAGCTGGGTAAGTGTACTGACAGCCTATAATGTAGACTGTATCCTGGTTATTAAGCTGGGTGAGTGTACTGACAGTCTATAATGTAGACTGTATCCTGGTTATTAACGACTGCCTGTCGTTGCGTTTTTAATGACTGTAAAACCTTGGATTGCGAGTTACTTGGTCTGCGAGTGTTTTGCAAGCCGAGCACATTTATTTATTTATTAAATATTAATAATCCCTGCAGTCACGAAAGCTTTAGATCGAAATTTTAATTTTATAAACGAGCGAGAGGTCTTGCAGTACGAGCAGTACGTGCACGCTTTGTCTGCCGAGCGTCACGTGATCACAACTGATACACCAGTGCTTCGATGCGCCAGTGCTTGGGATTACAAACACGTGTCCGGAACGAATTATGCTCGCAATCCAAGGTTTTTACTTGCTCCATCGCTTCCTGCCGATGATGATTCGAACGGCCGTGCTCCAGGGTCGGGTGCGGAGGAGCAGCAGGAGGAGGAGAGGGATCTACACCATGGGAACCTCATTTGCCAGTAAAAATATGATAATTGGTTTTTTACCCTTCTATCTGGCAACATCATATTTTTACTGGCAAATGAGGTTCCCATAGTGTAGATGCTTGCCCCGAGCTCTCATTCTCTGATGGTGCATTGTCTTTGAGTTGTGCGCCTTTTGGCGTCATCTGGTCCAGCCCATGTGAGAATAGGCTCTAAGAAAAGCTGTCTCGGGTGTGGACCAATCAACTTCAAGGACAGTGGACATTATCAGAGTTATGTCTTTTGTTTGTATTATGACTGCAGGTATTGCGGTCTATGCAAACATGACTCCTCATAAAAAGGTGTCAGTTTTGTTGCCAGATAGAAGGATAAAGAACCAATTATCGAGGAGAGGGATGTTGCATGTGTGGGAGACTCGTTGAGGAGGAATGCGTCATCAACCAGGCTATGCGTTAATTGTGTGCTGACCGACTCTCTGTGTTGCATTGCATTTCGATATTTTGCGAGGTTACTTAATTTAGTGTGTTTCTCTCCCGTTCTCCTAATTTTCAAGCTTGCGTACTTTACCACCCGTTGTACTACTCATTGACATGCTAATTTTTCTTTAACCCCCTCCCTCTCTCTATTTAAGGCCTCGTCACAGAGACGTCCTCTCTCTATGTATCTCTGCGATGTCTGTCTGCTTATATGTCTGTCTATAGTTTTCTGGTTATATTTTTGTTGCTATTTCTTTTATACCTGAGGACGACGACTGCTTGTGTTGCAATCGAAACGTCGTAGCATGCTATTATTTAATTTATTATTTTATCTTTTGCACGCCACTTTACCGAAAGAACCAAAGAGTGGAGGAGTTGGCGGTCCAGGGACAGGCCACACCCCCCGCGTTCGCACAGCGCCACGGGGCTCCAGGATGAATTGGGTCGGCGGTTCGAGGCGAGTTCCGTCCGCGTGTTACACTCCCCAACCCGAGCTCGGAGCGCTCTACAATCTCTGACCTCTCTCTCTCTCTGACCTCTCTCTCTCTTTTCTTTCCTCCATTTTTTTTTTACGATCAGTGGAAGCAAGAAGATGCTCCGTGTATTCGGCACTTTGCTTCGTTAGTCATTTTGTAATTTTTTTTTATATAACTTTGTGTAAACCCCCACCTCTCACTCACTCTCTCGCTCACTCTCTCGCTCACTCTCTCGCTCTCTCGCTCACTCACTCTCTCGCTCACTCTCTCGCTCACTCTCTCGCTCACTCTCTCTCTCGCTCACTCTCTCGCTCACTCTCTCGGTCACTCTCTCACTCACTCTCTCTCACTCTCTCGGTCACTCTCTCGCCCACTCTCTCACTCTCGCTCTCTGACCTCTCTCCATCTCCTCTTTCCACACAGGAGGAGCCAGGCTCGATCGAAGGCCAACCAGGAGCTGCAGAAGGTGCGTCACTCTCCGCGCCGGCGATGACCGCGCACGCACCCCCACGCCGCCGCAGCTCGTGAACACGGACATCCTGCAGATCGCCTCGCTCCCCGCCCCCTCCTCTCAACCTCCCTCCGCTCGCCTCCCTTCCTCGCTCCGTGCAGGACTTCTTCCGGAGGCACAGACGCCCATCGGAGCTGCCGCCGGCACGGAAGCGGCAGCACGGGGACGTGAATGTGGACTTGGCGTCTCTGCACACGGTCAACCGGGTCGCCCGCGACGGCGCAAACGGTGGGCGTCCCACCCACTGGGCTGTCGCGCCCCGCCACTCGACGTCAGCGCCACCGCCGCCGCATGAGCCAGCGGGCACCTCCAGCGCCGCACGCCGACTCGCGTGCACCACCAGGGCCGGGCGGAGGCTCCTGGAGGCCTGGGGCAACAACAACACGCCTCGTGGAGCTGTTGAGACGATCTTCTTGGTTCTCTCGGTGAAGTCACGTAGAATGGAAATGATAAAATAAGAAAAATGAAACGTAATAAAATAATATGATATAATATAATAATATAATAATAGTTTCATAACTTCCCTTCTACGTGACTTTACCGAAAGAACCAAGAAGATAAATCCCTGCAGTCACGAAAGCGTTAAATCGAAACTGTTGAGACGACATTGACTCCTGACCCCCCCCCCCCCCCGTGACCTCTGCCCCCTGACCTCCCCCCCCGCCGTGACCTCTGACTCCTGCCCCCCCCCGCCGTGACCTCTGACTCCTAACCCCCCCCCCCCCGCCATGACCTCTGACTCGTGACCTCTG